GTCTAGAGGGCGGAGCGTGACTTGCTCCTGCTGTTGGGCCCGACGGGTAACCACTCGGCGCACGTGAACAGGTTCCGTGTGCTGACAAGCCCACCGGCTCAACATATCAGCCCACACGTTATCAGTCCCGGCGATATGATTGATAGTGTACCGAAATTCACTCAACTTCAGATCCCACCGCAGTAGTTTACCACAAATATGCTTCTTGATATTCTCCGCAGGCGCAAATATATGTATCAAATTCCTGTGATCGCAGAACATCCGAAACCCCCTCGGTCTCATCAGTTGATATGATAACTTTTCACAGGCAGTGACTAGAGGGAACGCTTCCTTCTCAATTACACTCCAATTCACCTGAGCTCCAGTAAATGTACCACTTAGACAAGTCAAAAGTCGGTGGGATTGCTCGCTAACGTCCTTTGCAGAGTCCCAATTTTCAATTTCAGTCACTAAGATGCTCCAACCCTGGTCAGAGGCATCCGTGACTAGCACCAGGTCTCCATCGGCACTGGGGTGGTGCAGAGTAGCAGATGTAGCTAGCAACTCACGAACATTGTCGAAGACCACTCGAAGCTCAGCAGTAAACACTATAGGCACCGCTGCGGCAGCTCGCTTCGACTTCTTTTTGTTGCGGAGTGCTACGTCAAGATACTCCTGAAGTGGCTTCACAGCTACTGCGTAGCCCACAATACTTTCTCGCAGCCAATTAGCTGCACACAGGAACTGCTGCAGGTCTGCAGCAGTCTGTGGGTACGGCATTTCCCGTAATGACCGTATGCGCTCGGGATCATGCGTTACTCCAACACCATCTATAATTTTCCCGCACCACTTCACGCTTCTCTGATATAGACTCGACTTCTTCACACTCAGTTTCAAACCGAAGTCGTTTACCAAAGAAAAAAGATTTTGAAGTTTCTCCAGGTACTCATCAATATTGCTACCATACAGTAGGAGCTCATCTACCCAAACTAGTAGGTGCTTGTACAGTAATTCCTTGAAACACGTCTCCATCGTTCGCTGAAAATGGATGGCAGCATCACTACATCCTTGAGGCACCCGGGTAGGTGTATACACTTTACTATCCGTCATATACGAAAGAAATTCCTGACACTCTTTTGCCAAAGGAAGCTGCCAGAAACCTTTTAGATAGTCAAACAAACTAAAATGAGCCATACCACGTACGTGCTCCGTAATGACACGAAGATTCGGCATCACACCCGCAGCAGCTTCAGTCTCAGCATTCACCGCACGGTAGTCACTAGTCTGCCGATATTCGTCAGAGCCGGGTTTCCTCACTGGTAATGCTGGACTGGCCCATCGGCCCTGTGGATTTTCGTATACCCACCCCATACGCTCGAGTTCAGCGTTAAAGTCTCTCAAAAATTCTCTTAAGTGCGGCGGATACTGCCTCGCTTTGCACTTCTGTGGTTTAGCACCATCCCTTAGCTTTACTAACAGCGGTGGGACCTTTGCCGGAGGGTCACCACCGAGTTTCAGTCTCCAAATGTCAAACATCACTGCTATTTTCAACAAATCACTTCGTCGCTCGCGTGGAAACCCGTTATCAATCGCCTTATCCACTAATTCTTCAACTGCAACTCTTACCTCACTGTCGCCTTCCACCCCAATCTCAAAATCGTCATTGCAGTTTACGGGATCTTCATCAGTGGTATCACTTCCCACAAGCTGTTCAAGTTGGCGGTCCACGTCAATTCCGAGCGTGGTCAGAACATCCTTTCCAAGAATGAATTCCTCTTCATCTTCTTCGATTACCAAACATTTCACTGGCTTAGTAAGGCACACAGGCCCTGCAGCTGTATTTATCCGCAAGCTCACATCCACACTACCGTGGGCTTGGATAATGTGTCCTCCAGCTGTCCTCACTACAACCGCCTCCTCCAATTTCTCCAGCTTCACCGCTGGGTCCTTCGTCATCAGCTCTCTGAGATTTATCCTGCTGATAACGCTTGTGTCTGCCCCTGAATCAGCGCAAAAGGCATCGAGTGCACTCCGTTTAGCTCAACTAGCTTTACAGGCCCAGGCAGGCACTCTTTAATGCGCTTAACACTTCAATCGTGGGCGACTTTCTTGCGGTCAGCCTTCTCACGGTTGCGCCGCTCATGCGGTTGCCGCAATAGATTGGCCTTCTCGTCGTGAGTCGCAACTGGGCACTTCACTAACCAATGGTCCCCCTTACATTTTAGGCAACCACCGATCGGATTTGCAGCTCCTGTCTTTGGAGGTCCCTGTTGGACGTTCCGACCTTGCTTTCTACTCACATTGTCCTGTGGTTGTTGCGAAACAGGCTTCGCTTCGTCACCGTCCTTTGATCTATATTTCTTCTTTGAGCGACTCGATTCTCGTGAACTGTCCAATTTGTCCCCAGTTCGAGCCGAACTGCGTTGTCGCTTACGGCGTTGAAAGTCTCGCTCAAGTTCAAGAGCTTTCTCCAGAATGATCTTGAAAAGCACCTTTTCATCACTACGCGCAGTCCGATTCTGATATACCAGGATGGACTCTATCTCTTCCCGCAGTGCCTGGGGTTCAAGGGACGCGACCAGTAATTTGCACTTCAACTTCAGACCTTCTTGGTGCATAAAGAATTTGCACCAACCATGTTCATCAATCACCTGGCGACTAGCCCGAAAGTATTGCACTACTCGCTCGCGTACATCTGTCTCATGCAGGTTCATCCGTACGGCAGCCTTGAACTCAACCGCCACGTTCGGCACCGTGTTGTTCTTCACTGTGGCGAGGATAATATCGATCTTGCCCAGAAGTACTTCGTTGGTCAGGTCTTCCTTGTTAATTCCCCACTCCAGGTCGCACAGAACCTCCAGCAAGCTCGGCTCGAACGAGCTGCAGATGTCTGTCGTCATGGCTGAAATTTGCTCGGGGTCGTGGCAGCAGCGGATGGCCACTTCCTGCTCGTACTCCTTGCGTCTTCGCTTCCATTCCACTAACGCTGCGTGCGATGTACTCTCGATCATCGGTGCAACGAGGGGAACGAAAAACGATACTGCTGTCGATCCA